ATTACCCCTTCATTCGAGAGTTGCCTAAATCTGCGCTCACGACCTCTTCCATTACGGGTACCCTCCATTTGGTTTAACCAATCTAGAGTCGAAACGTGAATATAATATTAAATATAAATATATGCATGAACAAATTACAAAAAGTATACACAAATCAAAAGTCAAATATATATATAACACAACTTTATCATACAAACCACATAGTAGCAGTCAGATACAAGCAAAAGTAATCCCATGAAAGTAGTGGGGTCCTATCCCAAAGTAAAATGTACAAAACTATGCCAAAAGGACAAAAGCATTTAATTAAGAACTTTCCTACCACCCCTCATACGGGATCAAAACATGGTTCATAAGAACTCTATCCTAGTTCCCGACTGAGCTAACGGACTCTCCCTCATGGTCAGAACTAGGTGCATCTTCCTCTTTAGGGGTTCCATCGCCCTGAATGTGAGAACCCGTAATTTTCTTAATTGCTAGGTTTTATTTTCTTTTAATTGCACGTTTTTTCACATTTTATTGATATGAAAAAATTTTAAAAATAATTTTTATAAGTAAATATCATTTTTAAATCATTTTTCTAGTATAAGTTAGTTCATGAGAAATTAGGAGTGTATATTGGACGTGGGACCCACTAGTGCGATAAGTTCGATAAAATTCGGCCAATTAGGTTAAGTTTTGCATAAAGGGATTTAATTACTAGGTGTTAAAAAATAATTAGGGGTTACCTAAATGGATTAATGTTGGAGGGACAAAAGGATATGTTTAAACCTAAAAGGTGCTACGTGGCGCGATTTGATTGGAGGGTGGACTTTGACCAATTTCTTTTACCTTTACTAAACTTGAATTTTGACCAATTTGAGCTTCATTTGTCTTCCTCTTGGCCGAGCAACATAAGGAGAAAAGAAAGAAAATCTCTCAACTTTTGCCTTCTATTTTCTTGCTCAATCTCTTGATCCAACCGTTAAAACTTCAAATCTCTCCATAAAAACCCTTTTCTAAGTAGTATTGAAGTAGTTGGTGGAGTGGTTTGAGGAGCAAAGGTGCTAAGTTGCTTGTTTTCTTGAGGTTACAAGGTGAGTTGTTAAGAACTTTTCCCTTTAGCTTTGATAATGTTCAATTGGTGGCTTTAGTGGTTTAATATGATGACATATAGTGTGATTATGGTTTGTTTATGGTTGGAAGTGAAGGTATGATGGATTTTGATTTATTATTGTTCTTTTTCTGTTTTGTATGATAATCATGATTTGGTCATGGATTGAGGGCTTATTATAGTGTAAAATGAAGCTAGTATATGTTGGATACGATTGGTTGCGAAAAATTCTGGTTTGGTGTGGAAATTTCGGTTTAGGGCTTCAAGTATTTCCATTCTTCCTGGTACTGTTTCTCCTATTTAGAGGCCGACTTGGCCTTAGTATAAAACATGAAAGTTGTAGACAATGATGTTTTATAGTTTCCTGCAAAATTTCGGCTCAATCGGAAACGTAGCCTATGAAAAGACCGAAATACCCCTGCTGCCCTGTTTCTGTCCGAAACTGATAATCAGCTTCTGTAATTGGTTAGTTTGACCAGGAATATTACCGAATTGGTTGTTGATGTCTTCTTAAGAATTATAACCTTGTACCTTAGTTTTCAAATGGCTTTGGAATTACCTGAATTGGAGTTGTGTGTACTGAGATATGAGTGAATGAATCAGGACTGCTAGTTGAATTCCACAGTGAGCTTCGAACTGAAAAATCTGGAGTTGTTTTGGTAAATTTGATCTAGTTAGGGTAAGAACTAGACTAAGTGGTCTTCATCAAAATTGTAGCCCTCTGTCTTAGCTTCGAAACGGTATAAATTGTACCCCAATCCGATAAGCGTAGATTCAGTTGTGTCTGTTCCGCTAAGAGACATCAAACCTGCTTTTTAGCTTTGTCCTTAAAATTTGATTTCTAGTTGCATTCCTAGACTTGCTTTGTATTTGGATGAATTTGAGCCTAGTTGAAGGGCTATTTTATTGAATTGGACTGACTTGAGGAAAATAATAAAGCCATAAATGGCTGAAAAATAGGTAAATACAGAGGGCATGCTGCCCAAAAGTTTAGGGCTATGCGATTCCTTCAAGTTGAGTTGCTCTTAGTAAAAATGAAGGATTTTGAGGGTTGTTTGTATCCCTAGGACCAACTGTTATCTTTTACTCAAAAGTCATATTTTTATTCTTTGGTACCAGTACTTAACCTGGAAAGGGATACAACATGAAGTTGGGCCTCATTTATGCATTTCATTTACTTGGTTTTTGGAGGTGCGAACTATAATTGTTTCATCTTGATTATTTTAGGGTTTCTTGGTGATTAAAGCCACTTTGGGTAAAACTTTTGAAGTATCCTTGCTTTAACCGGTGAGTGTACCACTCCCCTCATTTGTTGCTTAACTTGATTTCTGCACTTGCAATCTGTGATCTGAATGATTGTACTATCTGTTTATTCTATTGGAGACGAGAGTGTACTTTATCACACTTATTCTCTTGTCTGTCTGTATATCTACTGTCTGTCTGTATGCCTCCTTACTGTGTATAATCTGTTATCTGTATCTGAGTCTGTTCGGACGTCATTTGGAGGTTGGTATCCAACGACCTTTCTGTGACCTTTGAGCTCAACACCTGTGGCTAGTTACTCGAGTCGGGTCGGCAAGGGCCTGGTCAATTAGATAACGAACCACGGTAGTCTGTTCTGAGAATCTTTGGGTATTGAGACTCTTGATTCCGGTATACTCGAGTATTACCACTTCTGTTTCTGTTGAGGTGTTCGGGCCCGGTAAAGGTATGTTTGGTGGACGAAATTTGGTGTAAAGTGGGGTCTACGGATATGTCAGTTCTAAATACGTTGACGGAGAGTCAACGGGTTCGGATCAAGTACTGCAAATGGGAATCTGGCTCCTGAGAGCCGCCTGTATCCTTCCTATTGGAATCATTGTGTCTACTATTTTACTTTATATCTGGCATGTGTACCTGATTTGTTAAACGTGAGATGTTATGATTTTACTGCTATATGTCTGGTAGCTCATTGGGCATAAGCTTACCCCCTTCCCGTTATTTTGTTTTCCTTACAGGGTTCCATGTTTTGAAACCAAGATTTTTCGAAGAAAAGAGCTGAGCTAGTTGTAGGACTTCTCTTGTTTATGCTCCTCTGTAACCTGTGTTTTCAGACTTGGACTGGACCGGCCGGTCGGACCGGGAACCGGCCAGGCATCCGGTCCGAGCTAGCTAAAAAACTCGGCTGTTAAAAAACCGGTCAAACTCGGTCATAACTCGGATTGGACCGGTGAACCGGAATTTTTGATTAACTCCGGTCTTTTATTTTTTTTCCATTTTCTGCCTTTTTTTGGGTCAGACTTTGACAAATTGACCAACTAAAAACGCTAAAAATTGACTGAAAAAATAGAGCAAAATTGACAAAAGCTTTCGTGAGCTTCTGTTTGAGTGTTTCTTCTTCAGCCGATAGGCGATAACCTCGCCGATAACCACAGCCGTTCAGCCACCACCGCCGCTCTTGAGATCCATCGCCGATCTTTGGCCTCCATCGCTCTTGAGATCCACAGCCTTCAATCTCTGGCCTCCACCGCCGCAACACCACCAGTTCGTTCAGATTTCAAGAGAAGCAAGTAGTTAGCAAGCGGGTGAACTGAAGCAAAAGCCTAAATCTGGTAATTTTTACAATCTGAAGGCTATTATTGTTGATTTGTTATGCTAAAGTTGATATGTGGCTGGAATTTTTTGATTCATTATGCTGGGCCTTCGGGATTGGATATTGCGGGTGTGAAACTAATACGAAGGCCACAACTGTTGTGCTCTGTTCTCAGTTCTCTCCCTTTCTTTTATGCACGTTTCTCCCTTTCCAGCTAACTGAATCACCTAGATGAAAGACAAATGTATCAGTTTGCAAATTTATTGTTGCCCGAATATGATGCCTGTGATTTTTCAAAAACTTTACTATTATGGCGTATGTTAAAAACTTTCTACCATTTTTACATGGATGAAATGGATGAGGATTACATGGAAGGGATGAAATGGATGAGGATTACTTTGAATGGAAGATGATTTTGAGAGGACAGACAAGTATGATAAACCTCCAGGTCCTATAATTTACCACCGCCAATCATATGCACATTTTAATAGCTAGACCTTCTATTTTTGTTAACCATGAGCTTTAATGGTTTTATCCATTATAAAACGATAAAATGTTGACTGATTATGTTTCGTTAAATTGGAGATTTTACATTACTGGCTTATGAATCTGAACCCTGTCTTAGCTTATAGGAATAAGGTTTATAACTCTGGCATTTTCTTATGGCTCTAGATATTAAACAGGCAGCAGCCCTAATTGCCAAACTTGAAGGAAATTCACTATTTGCCAAATTTTGTTTCTTGGGCACTGTAATGGTTGTTGCTCAAGAAACAAGACAGGCTCACGAAACAAGACAGGCCAAATTTTGTTTCTTGGGCACTGTAATTGTTGCCAAACTGTAATGGTTGTTTCTTGGGCACTGTAATTTTTGGAATCAAGGCAGGCGCAATTCCACTGGTTTAGTAACAAGACTCCACTGGTTTTGTAAACAAGACAGGCGCAATTCCACTGGTTTTGTAAACAAGACAGGCTAATGTCTGTGCATATATGGCTATGCATAATTGCTGTAGATTTTCATTTATAGGAGATTTTTTAAATTTTTTAATATTTTCAATGTTCTTTCTAATGTAGGACAATGGAAGGTACCGATTCACAGTCCACACCAACAAATGAAGGATCGGCATCAAAGTCAAGTTCTGAAAATGTTAGGCAAAAAACTGATATAGCTTGGAGATATGCTATAGAAGGACAAGATTCACAAGGTAGAAGAATTTTGATATGTCAATGGTGCAGTAGTATTTTTAGAGGGGGAGGTATTAATCGAGTGAAGCATCATCTTGAAAAAGTGAGGGTAATGTGGCTCCATGCAAAAATGTGCCAAATGATGTTCAGCAGATAATGGAAGATTCATTGAATGAAAATGTTAAAAAAGCAAAAGAGAAAAAAGGGATATTTGAAATTGGAAATCCAGTGGGCCGAAGTGTAGCGGGATTTGAAGATGATGATATTGAAGAAATTCCTCATCCAAAAACAAAGACTCAAACTAACATGAGTGGGAATAAGGGAAAAAGAAAGGCACATGGCATTGAATCTTATATGACAGGTAAATCTCTTGATCGCTCTCAACCGAGTATCAAGTCTTGTATGCAAAGTAAAGAGAGATGGCATGGTACTGACATGGCTATAGCTTTGTGGTTTTATGATGCATGTATTCCAATGAATGCTTGTAATTCTCCCTATTACCAACAAGCAATTGGAAAAATAACAAGTATGGGTCATGGTTATCAAGGACCTAGTTATCATGCTTTAAGGGTAACTTTGTTGAAAGATGCAAAGAAGCAAGTTGAATTAATTGTTGACAATCTACGTAGTAAATGGGCTGAAACTGGTTGCACAATTATGGGTGATGGCTGGAAGGATAATAGGCAAAGAAGTTTGATCAATTTTTTGGTCTATTGTCCTAGTGGGATCTCATTTATCAAATCTGTTGATGCTTCAGATTTTGAGTCTAATGCTGAATATTTGTGTAATCTGTTTTCAGAAATTGTTGAGATTGTTGGATCTAGTAATGTTGTTCACATGGTCACAGATAATGCAAGTAATTATAAAGCTGCCGGTCGATTACTTTCTGAAAAATATCCTACAATTAGTTGGTCTCCTTGTGCAACACATTGTTTGAATTTAATTATGAAAGATATTGGAGAAATGACTCATGTGAAAGATGTAATTACTCTTGCTTCAAGAGTCACTGTGTATGTTCATAATCGAAAGTGGATTCTTAGTTGGTTAAGAAAAAGGCCTGGTTGGAGAGAGATTCTTCGTCCTGCGGAAACACGATTTGGTACTAATTTTATTGCTTTGAAGAATCTTCATGATTTGAAACAACATTTGGAGGCTTTAGTGACTTCAAGTGCATACAAGAGAGAGTTGAAAAATGAAAAAGGTAAAGAAGTCAAACAAATTGTTGTTGATGGGAAGTTTTGGAATAATTGTTTGATTATTGTGAGAATTATGGGTCCAATTATGCGCTTGTTGCGCATTTGTGATTCTGATGAAAAACCATCATTGGGTTATGTATATGAAGGCATGTGGAGAGTTGTTAATGGCATTAAAGAGCTGTTTAAGAACAAGAAAAAGTTCTATGGTCCATACATTGATATAATTGATAGGAGGTGGGATAATATGTTGAAAAAAGATCTTCATGCAGCTGCCTTTTGGTTGAATCCGGCCTTTCAATATGATAAGGATAGCCCTTGTCACATGCCTGAGATTATGAAAAGTGTTTTAGAAGTCATGCAAAAGCTAAAAATAGATGAACTTCAATATATGATGGATGAAATATCAATGTTTAGGTCAAAGGATCAAAGTTTTGGATTTGAATTTGCTCAAAATACTCACAAAACTGCCCGTCCAGGTATGCCTACTCTAATTTCACATTGATTATGTTAAGAATTACTTTTGTTGGTTTTTTTTAAAAAAAGATTACTAATTATGTCTTACTAATATAGATGAGTGGTGGAAATTGTTTGGTAATGATGCTCCACATTTACAAAAGTTGGCAATTAAACTCTTGAGCCAAACATCTTCTTCTTCGGGATGTGAACGCAATTGGAGTGTATTTGAACGCATCCATACCAAAAAGAGAAATAGACTTGAGCATCAAAGGTTGAATGATCTTGTTTATATTCATTATAATTTACGTTTGAAGAATAGGTATGGAATTACTATTATACATGCTTACTTTCTTTTTGTAAATTTATTACTTTTTTAAAATTACTTACTTCTTTTATTTTTTTTGCTCTTTTTTTCATTGTAGGTTTTCATATAAAAAGAGGTCTTATGATCCGGTGGATTATGAAACTATTGATAAAGTTGAATTTTGGGTAATTGATGAGGAACAAGAAGGAGAGCTTGATTATGATGAGTTAGAAGAAATGATTGAAGAAGAATTTCCCAAAACTAGCGAGAATGAAGCCTCTCAATCACGTAAGTTTATATTTGCTAACTTTATTTAAGTTTCTTTTTAATTTGTGTCTATTTTTGAATATTTTTATTTATGAGTATTTAAATGATTTGTAGATAAGAAAGACACAAATATTGTGCAACTTGATGATGAGGATGATGTTGATGATATTGACTTCGAAAGTTATGAAATTGGAGATAAGGATGATGAAGGTGAAGATGAAGAATGGCTTAGATAGTTCTTTGGAACATGGTGTTTTATTTAGATTGATATTATCAAGCATTTGAACATGAACTTGTTACCTTATTTGGATTGCTATTTGTTAATGATTGAACATATATGGGATTTCTATTTTATAAATTTGTGAGTTTGGATGAATTTGGTGAATTGTTTGATGAATTAGATATAAATTTAGATGATTGGGTTCTTTGGTTATATTTTGTAAATTTGATTTGCAGGTATGTGTGTGTGTATATAATATATATATATATATGATGTATATATGACGTCATCCGAGTCGACCCCCTATCGACCCCGGTCGAACCCATTGACCCCTGACCCCCGACCTCTACCGAGTCGAGTCCCGGTCCGAGTTTGAAAACATAGTCTGTAACTGAAACCCTAATTGTATTTTGTGTAGCGTGAATACTTTGTCTTGTATTTTGGTTCATTTGTTCAAGACTCCGATGTAAATATATGTATAAGTGTTTAATCGACGTCCCGTACTTCCGTATGGTTTGGAAAGCTTTGTTTTAACTTTTGGTGGCCTCCAGTTGTTCGTTTTCGTTGGGTTCTCGCGCGTACTATAGGGTTTGTGAGGTTCGACTCTGTAGTTCTGGCGAGAGTCGGGCAGGCGGTTCGCTTAACCCTTTGGTTCGCCTTAGGGGGAGGTGGGGTTGTCACACTTAACCTCTACTTGTGCATTAACGCCAATCACTCCTTGAATTAGCGCTTCACACTCGTTAATAATGCCTTCAGACCGGTCCCTGACCTCCTGGACCACTCTAGTGAGACGGTCATTAACTACTTGCAACTGCTCTCTAAGAGTATTCATCCTCTCTTGCTCCGTCGCTATGTTCTCCTGGAGCTCCCGAATCCTATCCGCTTGCATTCTCATGATGTCCCTCAACCTTACCATCTCAGTGTGATCCCTAACAGTGGCATGCCTAAGCCTCCTTCTCTTGTTTAGCACCGCTACGACCACACGATCGATATATAATAGTTCTGGCAACACTACAGCATCGAGTCCGACTAGCAGTACTCCAATGCCGAATCGGTCCTCCCGGCCTCTCCTCGTAGTCGATAACTCGGAAACGCCTTTGAGATGGCTCACCTCCGCCCTCCCCACTAGCTCCGTCCATAACCTACAAGAATAACTACAGTTTATAATTTAGACAGGGTTAATCATACTTATGGACACTCTAACACATTACCCGAAGTTCCTGAGAATCAAATTTCTAGTTCGTCCAAGTCATTTGTACCAACTCTAACACCCCTAACCGATATTGTCCCACAGTTAGCTGTCCCGTGGGGCCGTGGATTTTGTTCCTGGCGGTGCTGGACAACACAATAGGCTAATGTCTCACCAAAAGTCTCGACCAGATGGGGAACACCACTACAGGTTATTAAAGCGGTTCAGGACTTCCTCCCTTAGCCGATGTGGGATCATTACAAACTATCTTGTTTTTCTTCACTATTTTGCTGCTGAAATTTTTTATAGAATCTACCATAATTAAGTCTTAAATCTACTCAAGTGCAAGATAAAAAAGAAAGTTGGTTCTAGAAATAAATACCTTTAAACCCTATGAAGAAATGAAGAAATGCAACTAAGAGCTTCTAAATCTCTCAACAACAGCCATTCTTTCTATCTCAATACAACTTTTTATAGATTGGATTTGGATTGTAGGATGAACTTCTCAAGGATTCAAGCAAGAAATCAAAGTGAAATTTGGAGTTTCTTTTCTCTCTTTTCTTGCTAAGAATTTAGGCCAAGAAGGAGGAAGAAAGTGAAGGAATTTGTCCAATTTTTCAAGATAAAGACCAAGACTAGTCTTGATCAAAGGATGGTTGGATGGTCGACAAGTGTCAGCTTAGGGTTTAAAACTTATCTCTTCGTCTTTCGTTTGTCTCTAATGACTAATTTATATTGTTTTCTTCTAATTCACTCTTAACAGTTCTAATCACATAAACTATCTTGTAAAAATATCCGTTTGTCAACTAAATTGAATACACACCTTTCTAGTGGGTCCCACTTCCATAATGCACTGCGAATTTAACATACACTAACTTATATAAGAAAAATGATAAAAAAATATTGACTCACTTATAAAAATATCTAGAAAATTAAGGTAATAAATTAAAGTAAAGAAAATATATTCAAAGAAACAAAATAAAATATAAAAATAATTTTTGGGTCCACACAATTAGTCCATCTTGTATTGTGAAAGATGATTCCTGACTTGCTTGATATCTTGACTAGTTTCATTCTTGTGACATGGTGCACCACTGTTTTCCTGTAAAAAGCTTGTATGCCTTGTGTTATAACCTCTCTCACCAGTGTATGTGCACTTACAAATTTGCCCAAATCTTCTCGCCCTTTTTATTTCCTCTTTTGCTTGCTATAGCATATTAGTAAATATCCTTCTATATTTCTTGGGTCTTTTTTATGCTCTTCAATATGCTGGTGAGAGTGGTCGTTTGTCATTTACGTCTACCCAATTATGCTCTCCATTCACATGTAATATGCATGGGTCATAACATCTACGATAAGTTTTGTGACAACCCCACCTCTCCCTAGGGCATACCTTAGGGTTTAGCGGACCGTCTGCCCAACTCTCGTCAGAACTCACTCACTCACGTCAAGAAAATAGGGTGCAACCTCAAGAATGAAAGAAATAACAGTTCCCAAGTTTGGAACGTATAAATACATTTATTTCTATCTCAAACATCCATACAATCCCAAATATATCAAAAGATTTATGTTCTCAATACATTCAACCCTAATTGAGCGACTAGTGCGAGTACAATCACAAAATTTTTAAAAACTAGATTATGCTAGCCTATACCAATCTCACGCCTTACTCGTATCCCCTGTAAGGAAAACAAATGGCGTGGAATGAGCTAAAAATCCAGTGAGGTTCCAAATAGCAAGTTGACCATTATTTAAAAGTACAAGTATCAACGTAGCAAAATAGCGAGCATAACAAGTTCATAAAAGTGAGCAATAACACTTTAAGTGTCCAATTTCAAAATGAGCGAGTGTAAAGTTTTTCAAAAGAAACAATAACCCGATAAGTAATAATCATGTCAGGGTATAAGGATACAGATGGCTCTCAAGAACCAAGTTCCCATTGCTTCACTAGAGCTTGATCAGTAGTAGTTGACACTCCGTCAAATTTCAAGTAAAGTAACCAGTCCAGTAGAGCACCACTTAGCTACAATCTCCGTCCACCATCCAAACCCCCTACTAGGCCCAAAATCCTCAATAAACACTGGTGGTAATACTCGAGCATACCGATTAGTCGAGGAGATAACACTCTACTCGACAACACTAGATACCCATGGTTCATTATCTAATCGACCAAGCCCTTGCCGACTCGACTCGATTAACTAGCCAGTAGGGTTTGGGTCCCCAAGAAATCAATGAGATAACATCTCCAATCGACTAAATCAAGATAAAAGTACAGAGACCAGAATGAGAGGCACCTCCCACTTGGATTGAGTGTGGTACATGCTGCCGCTTAGTACTTACAAGTCAAGCACAAGTATATCAAGTCAATTGCAACAATAAACAAGTACATATCACATTAGGGCAAGTGCGATAAAGTACACGCTTGCCCTACCAAATCAATCAAATATCAAGTATTTAAATCAAGTATCATGTTCAATCATATACTTGGAAGCACTCACCAAAGATTTAGTACTTGTCAAAATTACGTTCAGGTGTAACTCCTTGGTTGGAGTCCAAATCTGCGATAAAATATCATTTACGAGCTTAAAATCAACTAGGGTTCGAAACTTAAGAGTTTCGCTTTAAGAAGATAAAGTAAATGAAACTCATTTCGATAGGATTCATGTTACGTATCAAACTCTAGAAAATTCATGCTTGCTCTTTTGGTGTTGCTAAAGAAGCAATTAAAACTTTGGAATTCGCATTTGAGTCCAAAAGACGAGGAAAATATATTCTGAGTGGTCACTACTTTCATTTTTTCAAGGGTATGAGTTTCGGCCAAATTTCAGCTTATATACCTTTACGAAAAAAAACTCGAATACCATAGACAATCCAAGTTCAATTTGACCTCAAATCTTCGCTCAAGTCACGAGTACACATGCCTAACCCTCGAGTGAAAATTT